TTGGGGAGTCTCCATTAAACACAACATTATTTACAGGGCTAGTCTTCTGAGGATAAAACACAAGCAGATCCCCTGTAAGATAATTTGAATGCTTCGGAAAGAGAGGATAAAAGGGGAGGAACAATCCTCTGTAAATAATGTTGTGTTTAATGGAGACTCCCCAAATTTATTAGACCTCTACTTACTGCTAGTTGAGGATGGTGGCATTTGAACAAAGAATTCTTGTGAGAATGAAGTCAGGGTAGGTTGATAATACTTAATAGCAGTAATTGTGAGAGAGATCATGGAGTCTTTGTGGTAAACCAATTAAATAAGAGGCAACAGTGTGTGGCAGCAGCCAAAAAAAGCTATCACAATCCTAAATTGCATTAACAGAGGGTTACAATCAAGATCAAGTGAGGTACTAATACCACTCTATAAAGCCTTAGTAAGACCACACCTAGAGTACTGCATCCAGTTTTGGTCACCACACTATAAAGAAGATGTTGAAAGAGTGCAGAGAAGAGCAACCAAGATGATTAGGGGACTGGAGGCTAAAACATATGATGAATGGTTGGAGGAACTTGGCATAGCTAGTCTAGTGAAGAGAAGAACCAGGGGAGACAGGATAGCAGTGTTCCAATATTTGAGGGGCTGCCACAGAGAGGAGGGGGTCAAGCTATTTTCTAAAGCATCTGAAGGAATAACGGATGTAAACTGAACAAGAAGAGATTCAACCTGGAAATAAGGAGAAATTTTCTGACAGTGAGAGCAATCAACCAATGGAACAGCTTGCCTTTAGAAGTTGTGGGAGTTACATCACTGGAGGCTTTAAAGAAGAGACTGGATTGCCATCTGTCAGAAATGTTGTAGGGTCTGCTTAGCGGGGGGTTGGACTAGATGACCTGCAAGGTCCCTTTCAGTTCTGTTAATCTGTAATCTGATTTTAAAGGGTCACATATTGTAGACTTTAAGTTATACTGAGATTTTTCAGTATAACTTAATGCCCAACCCTTTTTGCATAGCAATAAAAAAAAATGTGAGATACTGTTTTTGGGGAAGGGCTATGGTTCAGATCATGCTCCAGCAGCAGTACATGATATTGTGCCTAAACCAAAAGGGAAGAATTATCTTAATCCCACAATCATCTCACAGTTCTTCAGAGTTTCCTTAAATCACAAAGTATCATATGATAGGAAACGTCCAAAGTTCATAAGGAGACTGAGGAGACAAAGTAGAACCAAGAGACAGCAAAATGAAGGTGTTCTTTTCCTTCTTTGTTTTGCTAGAGATTTTTGGTAAGTAGAAAAAAGTACTATCTAAGATTGGGGGGGCGGGGGTTGCAGGTCAAATCATTTTCTATGTAGCATAAGTGTTGTGTAAAAGAATCAAGAATTTGATCATTTGTGATTTATTTGTAATTCAGTCAGAAAAAGGTAATTTCCATGTAGATAGGTTTTGGGGTGATTTGCAGAACGAGCATGCTCATAGCAATTCTGCAGCTTGGATTTTTCCATTCCTTTCCTTCTATCTAAGCTTCTCCCTCCATCCTGCAGCCCCCCTATGTGTAAAGCCTGAAGCTACCACTGTGAGATAACTTCTGTTAAATATGCATTGCTATTTAAGATTCAAAGACCAAGCTCCCTTAATGCAAGAACTGATTAAAGCAGAAGTCACAATTTATTTATAGAAATTAAACACAGCAACAGTACCATAACTGTTGAGAACTGAAAATATTTTATTGCAATTTGCAACATTTTATTATATAAAATACCACAGTAATTACATTATAGAATAGAGATTGAATGTTTCTCTGGCAGTGTAATGAAAAGAATACTTAGGACTATGGAGTTGATTTCAAAACTATGATCTAATGTTTAATATAATCCCATCAAGTTTTACAACAACATTGTAATGTAGGCTGGCATTATAATCTTTAAATTACAAATAGCTGAGATGAAAAGAAATTATGGTTTGCATAAACAGTAAGTTCATTTTCCCCACAGTATATCAATTCCCATGATCATATCTATGGTGTTTTGTAAATTTGTATTTTGCTTGCATATTAATTGTAAAATGAAAAGAAACAAAATTATTTATTTACACTTTTCTAGGAATTGGTTAAACATATGTGTAAAATTTTAATTCATGGTAATGATTATCATGGTATTTTATTTTGTTTTATTCAGTGAGTGTAGCTGTACTATCTGCCTTACTGTAACTTTCTGTTTGACAAGGAGAGTAACACTTTTAATTGCAGATAGGACTTTGCTCAGCTGAATTTCTTTTAAAAAAAACCCGATCTCCACAAGAAGCATAGATAACATCTACTTTATGCAACCATTTATCATACATTGGAAATCTTTCAATCCCATGATTCTTTCACCTGCATTTATCAGTGACAAAATCCAGAATCAACTTGTCAGTTAGGGTAAAGCTAGAACATGGATATTTCTATAATTTAAAGAGGCAAAAGATTTTATAATGGAGCTTGGATTTTTTTTATTATCCAATGTCTCATACAGAATTAGTGTTGAACGAAGTGGAAGCTACTATTAAGTTTTCCAATACTTAGGCCATGCATCATTGAAGATTTGTTTCTATTTGAAGTCCCATCTAGTTCAAAGATTCGATGAGTGAACAGAAGTCATCATCACCAAAGAGATGTTGTACACAAATCACCAATATTTATATATTTATTTAAAACATTTATATAGCTGCCCACCTTATAACAAACTTCAGGCAGGCAAAAAGTAAAACAATATAAAAACCATATCAAAATTACAAAAAATAAACACATTAAAAACAAAGTATGTTCCTGCTTTGGCTAATTGTCTCTGCTAAGTGTAGCAAGTTATAATAATAATACAATAGCAGAGTTGGAAGGGACCTTGGAGGTCTTCTAGTCCAACCCCCTGCCTAGGCAGGAAACCCTATCCTGTTCCAGACAAATGGCTATCCAACATCTTCTTAAAGACTTCCAGTGTTGGGACATTCACAACTTCTGGAGCAAGCTGTTCCACTGATTAATTGTTCTAACTGTCAGGAAATTTCTCCTCAGTTCTAGGTTGCTTCTCTCCTTGATTAGTTTCCACCCATTGCTTCTTGTTCTACCCTCAGGTGCCTTGGAAAATAGTTTGACTCCCTCTTCTTTATGGCAACCCCTGAGATATTGGAACACTCCTATCATGTAACCCGTAATCCTTCTTTCTATTAAACTAGACATACCCAGTTCCTGCAACCGTTCTTCATACGTTTTAGTCTCCAGTCTCCTAATCATCTTTGTTGCTCTTCTCTGCACTCTTTCTAGAGTCTCCACATCTTTTCTACATCGTGGTGACCAAAACTGGATGCAGTATTCCAAGTGTGGCCTTACCAAGGCATTATAAAGTGGTATTAACTCTTGATTCTATACCTCTGTTTATGCAGCCTAGAACTGTGTTGGCTTTTTGGCAGCTGCTGCACACTGCTGGCTCATATTTAAATGGTTGTACCACTAGGATTCCAAGATCCCTCTCACAATTACTGCTTTTGAACAAGGTGCCACCTATACTGTACCTGTGCATTTCGTTTCTCTTGCCTAAATGTAGAACCTTACTCTTTTCACCACTGAATTTCATTCATTTTATTAGATAGTGCCCAATGTTCAAGTTTGTCAAGATCCTTCTGTATTTTAAACCTGTCTTCTGGAGTGTTGGCTATTCCTGCCAGCTTTGTGTCATCTGCAAATTTGATGAGTTCCCCATTTATTCCCTCATCCAAATCATTGATGAGATGTTGAAGAGTACTGGGTCCAAAACAGAGTTAACTGACATTCTGTCAACAAACTAACCAGTTCAAGCCCTAGGCAGATTGTGTGGAAGTTGGAAAGGGTCTGCTCATTTTCTCTGCAGGACATTAATACAACCAAGCAAATGATTGAGTTGAAGTGTTGCTGTTGTTGTTTTGAGCTTGGTGGTGGTAGTTAATTCTTCAATTTCTGAGATCTAGGAGTTGCAGGAAGCAGCTTCTGTTTCTGTTATGTTTTACTCTGAGTCTGCCTTGTTTTCATGCAACTATTTCTCTCTTATGATTCATTGCCAAGGATCAGAGCTTTCTGGATCCCTTGTTGCCATCACTGGCTCATCTGGACATTTGCAATCCGGATCCTTGTTCTTATCCTCACCCAGACTGTTTATTACTCTGTGGAACAGAAATTGAAGAAAAAGCCATTGATGGTTGCCTAGCAACTAGCAGACACATTTACAGTTTAAGAGTTGATGAGAAAAACATAGGCAGGGAATATCAAATATTTACTTCCTTTCTTGTAATACCACCCACGAAAGTAGAAAACCCATGCTAGCTTGAAGCATACCAGCATTGGAATTTAACCTCAAGGCTTCCTCACAACTCAGGGAATGGTGTGAGATGAAGGATCTGTGACTTCTTGTTTGCTAAGGGCCTTTGTTGAAAGTGTGAGAGGTGAGGTTAGGTTGCCCGTGTTATCAACATGCCCCGGAGCTGAAGTGCACTTTGGCCATGTATGATAGTAACCATGCATTAAATGATGGGCTGGAAAGAGAGCTAAGTGTGAAGCGGTAGATGCTGGCTGTGTTTCTTTGTGCAAGTGGTTAATTGGATATCTGCATTTGTCCTGGCCCCTCCCACATCATCCGGGTTGTGAAGAGATTGGAACAGCAATTATGTTGACATTGAGGACACCACAGTGAACAATTCCACTGAAGGGGCTTGTGGTATATGTTTTATGCTTATCATAAAGCAGTGGTTGGGATTTCCATTTTGTTAAAAGCTGTAGTGGAGACAAATTTTATTTGTGCATATAAATACTGCCAAGGTTGGGATTTCCATTTTGTTGAAAGCTGTAGTGGAGACAAATTTCATTTGTGCATATAAATACTGCCAAAGCTACTGGCTTATAATTGACTCAAAACTGGTACAGAATCAAGCTAAACACATTCTGTCACTAAATCACATGACATTAATAGAAACTTCAAGAAGAAATTAGATAAGGAAAGTCTATGTTTATGTGTATTGTGTGTGTGTGTGTGTGTGTGTGTGTGTGTGTGTGATGGAGAAGTGTTAAATATATTTATACAAA